AGACAACGCCGCGCTACTGCACATGTAGCCAAATCTCGATCGAATAATATAATAAATTTCAGAAAGATTGCAAAACTTATCGATTGATATGCAAATGGATCGTCCAATTAGGATCGCGCGCTCTGGGATCATGGATATTTCGTATGCAATGTCGGGATTTTTTATTATACATCAACGACAGCAGTCAGTTTGCATTAATTTACTTGCAAATTTGGCGACGCGAGATGCAACTTAGTTTGCACTTTATAACGCACGTATTGCCGTTCGGTCATCGATGAATAGCATCCGCAAACGATATCGCAACATTCGCGCAACGATATCTTCAAACCCGCTAAGTATATTCACGACGCAACTGCAATATAAATCGTAATTGATGCAAACGGTAGTTTTTATTGGTTCGAAATAGTTGTATTAAAATATTTTTTGTAATGTGTGTGAAATATATAACAAAATTCGAGAAACATTTTGTAAATATACTTGTCTTAAGGATATTATATGTATTTTTTAAATAAATGTTAAAATTATGAAAAAAATTACAGGTTTTTCTAAATTATATTTGTGTGTGAAAGTAATACAAAAAGTTTTACGGCAATATGTAGATGTTTTTAAAAAATAATTAAGATAAAATGAGAAAATTTTTATTTGAACTATAAAATAGTATTGTTAAATATAAATATTGACTTTATTGAACTGTTTCGTTATATGTACATACTTAATACATTTTGACAAAAAATTTTGACGTTAAAAAAGAAAAATTATATGAGACACGCATCGACTTCGAAGATACTTTTTTAAGTAAAATATGCGTATTATTATTATGTTTTTATGAAAAATAAGCTGTATCGTTCTATGTAATGCACAATGCGTAATTTTGCATGGTTGACTTGATATTATGGTATATTGGCATTGTCAGCCAGATTCTCCGCGCGCGTCATGTCAGACGAATTCGACCGTTACAACCGCAAAATTGGCTTCTGGGCAGAAACTAAGGGACGTAAAGGTGAAACGAAATCACTTACCAGCAAAGCTTTCCGGCCACCTGTCCGGAATTGTCGGGAACAAGTCTTTAGGTACCTCCAATTGCACCTGCCACGGTTTTCCTTAATCGTTGGATTCTGCAAGTTTTTGTACCGCATTGTGGTAAAGAAGAAGGAACGTATAGTATTATCCAGATTTTTTCGTTGTGAAATGAGATAAATTTTTTGTTTTCTGTGTTCTTAAAATATTATTATAAAGAAAGTGAAATTAATGTAATTTACACATTATAGCCACGGTAATTTGTGATAATATAATGTACACTAACATATTGTTGCATTCATAGAAAAGCGATATAATTTAAAATTAGTAACTTTTCAATATTGCAAACACTGCAATTCTAATATAGGGTTGTAATTAAATTTATATCTTATCAGAGTTGTAACTTTTCCATCATTCTTTCACAAAAATGTATTTACGTTTAAAGGATAGGCTTCCTATTATTATCTCAAAAATACCAACTTTTTAATTGTGTCACTTTTCTATCAACGCGATGTATCATGTATGTATGAGACTGACATTTGAGTCAAATATTTTAATAAAACTGTACTCTTAAAAAAAAAGGTTACATTTCAGACAACTCAAAATTAGCAAAAATTTCAGTAGAGCATATAAAATTGTTTTTAA